TAAGATCAGGATACCATCAAATCAAAGTGAAAGCAGAAGACATACAGAAAACTGCATTTAGAACAAGGTATGGTCATTATGAATATCAAGTGATGCCTTTTGGAGTAACCAATGCACCTGCAGTGTTCATGGATTATATGAATAGGATTTTTCATCCATATTTAGACCATTTTGTGGTGGTCTTTATAAATGATATCCTCATATATTCTCGAACTCATGAAGAGCATGAAGAACACCTTCAAACTGTTCTCCAAATCCTGAAAGATAAACAATTGTATGCCAAACTTTCTAAATGTGAATTTTGGTTAGAGGAGGTTAAGTTTTTAGGACATGTAATTTCTAAAGATGGAGTGTCTGTGGATTCGTCTAAGTAGAAGCAGTTCTGCTATGGGAACCTCCAAAGACAGTGACAAAAATCCGTAGTTTTTTGGGTTTAGCAAGATATTGTGGTGGTCTTTATAAATGATATCCTCATATATTCTCGAACTCATGAAGAGCATGAAGAACACCTTCAAACTGTTCTCCAAATCCTGAAAGATAAACAATTGTATGCCAAACTTTCTAAATGTGAATTTTGGTTAGAGGAGGTTAAGTTTTTAGGACATGTAATTTCTAAAGATGGAGTGTCTGTGGATTCGTCTAAGTAGAAGCAGTTCTGCTATGGGAACCTCCAAAGACAGTGACAAAAATCCGTAGTTTTTTGGGTTTAGCAAGATATTATAAGAGAGTCATTCAGGGATTTTCTAAATTAGGATATTGAATAATTGGGGAATATCATATTGGCCCTACCAATATTTGGAATAGGGAAAAAAATAGAGAGGAAAAAAAATTCAAGGAACAAAACTTCAAAGTTCAAAATCAAAGACTTTAAAAGTTTTCCCTCCATTACAAATTTTCTCCCCTCCCCTATTTTATTTCCTCTTCTCTGGTCCAAACAAAGGGTAAATTATTTGTTCCCTATCTTCCTTATTTTCTACACTTCATCTATCATACTACTTTTCTTGGCTTGTCCAGCACCACACACACAGCATGTTTATATACTGCAATAACTACAATAAAAGCAACCTTAACTGTCAAAACCAAATTTTCCATATGATTTAATGCATGTTTGGTTGGGATTAATTTTGGAGAAATAATCAATTAATCACATTTTTTAACAGTTCTCTGATGAAGCTGACAAAAATGAACAATTATTCTCTAAAATAAAATAAACCAAACATGCACTTACATACATTTTAAGCAAAACTTGTGTAATAAACATTTTCTTAAAAGACAATTATCCTCCTCCAAAAGTACCTTATCAAGTGCAAGAATCTTTGTCCATATGAATACAAGGATCTGACGTAGTTCTGGTGTTGTTGTTTGTAACAGCTTTAGAACATAAGGAAATATTCCAACAGATAATGCCTACATATGAAGAACTTGGTATCAAGTTATCATATCATAAACCTTTTCTAAATAAATATGTAAAACAATTTCAACATAAGTTGATGAATCGAGAGAACAATTACCAGATCTACAGCCCATTGCCCCATATCAAGGAACCTTCCAAGGAGTACTAAAGCCCGAAACCGATGGCATTGACTAAGTAAAACCTGAAATAGGAACAATGCTACTTATCAATGAACACAATAGACAAGAAATATCAACCAACAACTGAAAAAATAATTTTCTCTTAAGTATAAAATATAACTATTGTGAAAAAGGAAAAACTAATAACTCAAAAGTTCATAAAAAACGATGACACTTCATTTTGCAAATGAGATTTTACAACACAATTGTCAATTGGTCACTATATATCTAAGACTCCCAACACCTGTTTTCATAAAAATCATGTAGCCTACCTAACAACAGTATTATGAACCAACACAATGGCTCATTAGGAAACAAAGACTGAGACATGAATCAAACCTGAAGAACTATAGGCAACTGCTCTGGTGGTTTCTTATGTTCAGAACCATGGTCAAGCCATACCTCAAATGCTGTCAGCTGCTCAGTGAAAAATGTACTAGGCTGAAAGAGAATGACCACATGCTTCATCAGGTAAGCTCAAAACTTATAAATAATCCTTAGTATTACCAATATTCCTTGTCAAACCAGAATGCCTTAGCCAATTTTTATTATTCAATAATTTCAAAGAACCTTACATCAGAGATATTATAAAAAAAAAGTAAAAAATAATTAAAAAAAACATACCTGAAATTCAGCGCTAGGATCCTCAACTAAAGACGGAAGTTGAGAGAGGCAGAGCTCAGCAGCCATGTCCCATGCATCCCTGCAGTGTGGATAAAAACAAACTGCTGACAAAATTTGACGACACATGAAGCAATATCATAACAATAATAGCCAACAATACCACATATGATGCTGATGGGTTGGAGGTAACATTGGGTGAGAGACAGGAGAACAATTTGCAGATCGCATGATTCGCTCAGCAAGTAGAAAATTTCGAAACAAACTTGCAACAAGCAAATCCTGTCTGAACAATCTCTGAAAAAGATCTGCAGGTAACAAAAAAAATGCTTGCTATATAACTGGAGTTAAAGGAAAACACAATGGTAATTTAACAAGTCAGCAGAAGGATGGGGAGGGTTGAGACCTACCATGAGGAAGAACATTCCAGGCAATTGTACCAGTTACCGCTGTAAAGATCCAATTCAATTCACCCAGAAGTGTCTTTCGGTCATTTGGGCGGCCAGGGATCTTGTCTATAAGTGAATAATCAAGTGACTCGCGAAGTAAAGAACGAGTACAAAACCTAGAGACAAATTACATCACAAAAAAAGTATTAATATCCATTTAACTGAGATATAACTTGTTGCCACTTAAAAGTTTAGGAATCAGATAAAATAAAAAGAGTTAAGTTAGTAATGCAAATATAGGTGTAAAGCATAAAATCAACTAAATAGTAAAAACCATCTTTATCACAGGACTTTTCTGTCACAACTACAATTAACATATAATCCAGCTGAAAAATGTTGCAGCAAAAAACAATATGATCAATTAACAAAAATACCCACAAGGAGAAAATTGTATTTTTTAAAAATAATTATTGATTATGAAGGATAAATCAGCTATTTAAAAATGCTAATAGATAAAAGTAGTTAACTAAGGGTTCAACATGGAAAACGTACAATAAGGCAAGAGATTGAGTAGGTAAATTACAAACCACTCACAAAAAAAAGTCTGCATTCTTTAGAAGGCCATGCAAAATGCTTTAGGAATCCATGCATAATGGCATGATCTGTCCATGTGGTGGTGGTGCTTACACCTGCACACTCAGGTAAATCATAAAAACATGTGGGTGGATTTATTAAGTAAACCGCGCACTATAAATAGTGCGTTTCACCTCAACGGAAATTTGAAAAATAAGAAACATTGTAACAGCGGTGAGAAAAGAGAGAAGAAAGCACCGAAGTGGAAAAAAAATAATAAAATCTTAATAAATCTACATTCCAAGGTAAGGGAGAGGAGAACCTTGTCTCTTTAAAATTTTATATATTATTATGTATATTTATTTATGTTATTTTTTATGTATATTTATTTAGTGGAGTGTCCCTAACCTCATTTATTTGATTAACCTATAATTATTGTTGTCCATATATTAATCATTAAGGTGTTCATATTTTATATTGTTTAATTATTTTGTAATTATTGTCATTTTTATTTATATCATTAGTACTTTTAATATATTCTTTTTACGTAAATATATTTATTGTAAATATATTTATAATCAACTAGGATATAGTTGTGATATCTTGGACTCGTCTTGTTGTTATTTCTTCACGCATGTGTAGTGGGTTTTTGAAATACATAGTGTCTAGGCCAGTTAATGGGGTATAGTCCACAAAGCACACTTATCGTCCTATCGATAATGTACAGTCGTGGCTTTGATCTCAGACCAACTTTGTTTCTTTTCATTGCATCCTTATTTATGGTAAGTTGATCCTCCTGAAATAACTCTATTTTTCCTTCTGGATCAGCAACTCTAGGGAAGATGATGAAGTATAGATCTGTCTTGGAATCCATACTTTCTGAAATCAGCGAGTTTATTGGCTGCCATGTTAGAGTAGAAGGAATGGACTTTGGGGGCAAGATTTTGTGATCGACCCTAATTGTCGTCTTTCTTTTTCTTAGGGCCATAGTGTTTATAGAAATAGCCTATACAAATTTTTTTGCATTAGACAAGGTTTATAAGAGGTTAAAGGAAGGGAAGATAGAGAAATGTTACTTACAAAAGAGGAATGTATAGTGACAAGAGGGGAGGGAACATTCTCAGGAGTTTCCATCTGAGCTGAAAGAGTGAGAACTTCAGACGCAAGTTTAGGCACCACTTTTGATGCAAGCTTTATGACCCTTTTCTTTGTGAATTGAGGTGGTGCAAGAGAAGGTGACAAAGCTTTTCTTTTCAGGGCCTTCCCGATGGGTTGGCTACCCTCAGCATTAGAGGATAAGTCTTTGTCTAATTGAAGAACCATTCTCCGTCTGGATGTTGGTGCTAACAGCCAATGGTTCAGCCTTCATAAGAGATATAGATGAATGGCGCTTCCTTGTAAAATGTGTCGCGCGCTGCTCTTCTCCAATCTCCTTCTTTATTCTTATTGCTACGGTGGGATTAGGAATGGTGTATTTTACAGGCATCTTCCCGAGATTAGCCTTTCCAAAGATGATGGGGTGCAACTGCTTGTTTAGTCCCATATCCATGATCCTCTGCTTCTCCTCTTCTTTTTCCAGCATGTGGAATGTGTGATAGACGTTTTGATCCCAGAGAATTTCGTTTAGGAGCATGGTGTGAACTACGAAATTCTTGCAGTCTTTCAAGCATCCTTTCCAATGTTGAAATAGTGTTTGAGGCAAGTCAAAGGCGGTTCCAGTCATCATTTGGAACAAACAGAATTTATGCATGTCTGATATGCTATCCTTGCCACCTATCTGGATATATGATACTTCATCTGATCTTGACTACCCTTTTCGTCTGGGTATAACAGTGATAACTCATGTTAACTTATGTTGATGTCTGGCCAAATTGCATCTGATGCCTCAGGCTTCCACTAATAGACTTGTCTTATCTTGTATTTTGGTTTGTGCCTGAATCAACCTTAGTCTTGATACTAGCTTTTCTATCGTTTGATGTTTTGTCTAGCTAGATTATGCTTGATCATTCTTCATTGCTTGAAATTATTGTTATCCGTCTGAAACACTAATAATGCACATGTTAGTAATAACAATATGTATTATATTTTTCATATTCAAAACCTTGGTGGGAATTGCGAACACGCTTCGTTTGACTTAACAATCTCCCCCTTTTTGAGGATGAAAAATATAATCTATCAATTTCATACATGTTTATACATATCAAGCATCTTGTATTAGATACAGAGCATAGAGCAAGTAGATAGCAGATATCACGCAGATAGATAGTAGATAAATGTAAGGGATATTATGTTCAAGCAGATAGCAGATATCAAGCAGATAGAAAGCAGATAAATGTAAGGGATATTATGTTCATTTTCTTAAGGTCCTAAGGTTCCTCCCCCTTAGACTATGCTCTCCCCCTTACTTAGTGATCAATTTAGTTTGATAGATGTTGTGTTATTTTTCTCCCCCTTTGTAATCATCAAAAAGAAATAGAGGGTGAGTATGATATATTATTGATCATCTATCAATTCCATGCCTAGCCTATCTCTTAGTCAGACATATCTATCTTCTTGAAGAGGTTTGGTGAAGATATCAGCTAGTTGTTCTCCAGTCTTAACATAAACCAGTTCAAATGTTCCTTTTTGCACACGATCTCTAATGAAATGATGTTTAATCTCTATATGCTTAGTCCTAGAATGCAAAACAGGATTTTTAGAAATGTTAATTGCAGCAGTGTTATCGTAGAGTACAGGAATACTACTTTCGTAAACGTCGTAGTCTTCTAGTTGATGTTTGATCCAGAGTAGCTGCGTAACACATTGTCCTGCGAAAACATACCTGGCTTCACAAGTTAATAAGGCAATCGTGTTTTGCCTCTTGCTAGTCCATGAAACCAAGCAGCGTCCAAGGAAATGACATCCTCCGCTAGTGCTTTTTCTCTCCCATTTGTCTCCTGCATAATCTGCATCACAATATCCTAGAAGAGAAAAATTCTAGCTTCTATAGAAGCTGATGCCTAGGTTAGGTGTTCCTTTAAGATATCTTAAAATTCTTTTAACCGCTTGTAAGTGTACTTCCTTAGGTCGTGCTTGAAACCTAGCATAGACGCAGACGCTGAACATGATGTCGGGTCTTGACATTGTTAGGTACAAGAGAGAACCAACCATTCCTCGGTACATTGTGCTATCAATTTCTGGTGATTCTTCGTACAGACCAAGAGTAGTTGAAGGATGCATTGGTGTCTTCTTTGGTTTTGCATCTTCCATCTTAAACTTTTGCAGTAGTTCTTTTGTATATTTCGTTTGATGAATTTTGATTCCTTCATCTGACTAGACGATTTGAAGTCCTAGAAAGAACTTCAGTTCCCCCATCATGCTCATTTCAAATTCATCCTGCATAAGCTTGGAAAACTCTTGGCGTAGATTTTCATTAGTGGTACCAAAAATTATGTCATCTACGTAGATTTGGAATATTAAGAAATCATCCTTTATTACTTTTCTAAATAGGGTGCTGTCAATCTTGCCTCTTGTAAAATTATTATCTGTTAGAAAAGAGCTTAGTGTATGAATGGGTGGACGGAGAGGTCGGTGTGTACTTTTCAAAGTTGTCCGACCAAGAGTTGTTGGATACTTTCGTGTCTTTAGAGAAATGTTTTGGGAGTGGGGAGGACGAGTTCTCGTTGCTTGCCGAGGCGTGCGAGGACGATGGGCCGAACACCGATTTCGTGTTCTTGGAGCGGGGGTCCGATGAGGACGACTATTTCTACGCCTATATGTGTTGGTTTGAGGATCTCGGCGTGACATTGCCCTTCGATGATTTCCAGATGGGGGTCCTCCGTGCTTTGAACGTGGCGCCGACCCAGCTACACCCTAATGCTTGGGCAGCTATGCAAGCGTTCCGTAATCTGTGCTTATGCCTCGGTCTAACACCTCGACCCCTTGCCTTCCTCTATTATTACATTTGCCGGCCGAGCAAGCCGGTGAAATGGGTGTCGTTAGCTCGAGTGCCGAAGCGTGGATTTCTCCGAGCATTCACCTCCTCTTATAAGGGATTTAAGAGTGGGTTCTTTAAGGTTCGTTGGGGTTCGGATCTGAGAAACTGCTTCTTTGACCTGGAGGACAATCCGTTATTCCCCTTCTATTGGACGAGGCGGCCGACGCGATTCGAGGCGATACCTTTTTCCAAGCTCCCCGCCGAGGATAAAGAAATTGTGGAGTTTCTTAATAATTTGCCGAAGGGCCTACCTGTCCGAGGCCTCTTGGACGTATTCGAGACGTCTCACTTCGAGATGGCCTTCCTAGGTATGTGTTTTAGGCTTCGGTAGTGTAGCAATGTTTTGAATTGATGTTAAAACTTCTTTCGTTGCAGGACTGATGGCCGGAGGGGATCTCGACGTGACCGCCATGCTCGCCAAGAGAGCCAAGGATGCTAAGGCCAGTGGAAAGGTGCCACCGGCGAAGTCGGCATTGAGGATTGCGAGGGATAAGCCCTCGCCTGTAATAATTCCCTTGGCCGACCAGAGAAAGAGGACCGGGACCTCTCGGCCACGTCAGACCGACCCGAACGTGGAAACCGAGCAGCCGGGCACCTCCTCCATGTGAAGATGGTGATGATGGCAGTGGCGTTGATGATGATGGTGATGGTG